AATCAGTGCTCCTTGGGAAAATGGCTGACTTCAGATCTGGAGCAGGGAATGGACAAGATAAGCTTAGAATATCTTGTGCCAGAAAGCAAGAAAGGTATCAGAGACTCCTGGGGACTTGTAAAAAGTATATAGAAGATAAGAAAAAGTTGAGCATCAAAAAGAATACTGAGGGCAATGGATTGAAACAAACACATTAACATCCACAAGTTCTTAATGATACTCGAAGAAAAACTTAGTGATTATCACGGGAGGTTGTTAGGGCACCAAATCATTACACAGGAAATTGATAAAAGGAAAAAATTAAGCCTTTTCCCTGTCTTTCCTACACAATCTGAATTTCAGGTGACCCCAATAGTTCATGAAGGTAAGTTCTTTATAGACAGAATTCCACCTAAAAAAATGCAAGAGGAATGATATAAAAAAGACAAGAAATAAGAAGTGTTGGAGAAGATGTGGAGAAAAGGGAACCCTTGTACGCTGTTGGTGGGAATGTAAACTGGTGCAGCCACCATGGAAAAGAGTATGGAGGTTCCTCAAAAAATTAAAAATAGAACTACCATATGATCCAGCTATTCCACTTTTGGGTATTTATCTGAAGAAAACAAAAACACTAACTTGAGAAGATAGCTGCACCCTCAGGTTCATTGCAGCATTATTTACAATAGCCAAGACATGGAAACAACCTAAGTGTCCAATGGATGAACAAAGAAAAAGTGGTATATTATATGCAATGGAATATTATTCAGTCATAAAAAAAGAATGAAATCTTGCCATTTGCAACAACATGCATGGATGGACCTTGCAGGCATTATGCTAAGTGAAATAAGTCAGACAGAGAAAGACAAATGCTATATGATCTCACTTATATGTGGAATCTAACAACAACAAAAAACCAAGCTCATAGATACAGAGAACAGATTAGTGGTTGTCAGACGTGGGGGAGGGTGGAAGGGGAGGAGGCCAAAATGGGTGAAAGGAGTCAAAAGGTACAAACTTCCAGTTATAAAATAAATGTCATGGGGAGGTTATGTACAGTATGGCAACCATAGTTAATAATACTGAATTGCATATTTTAAAGTTGCTGAGAGAATAAATCTTAAAAGTTCTCATTACAAGAAAAAAAATTCTGTAACTATGTATGGTGACGGATGTTAGACTCATTGTAGTGATCATTTCACAATATATGCAAATATCAAATGATTATGTTGTATACCTGAAACTAATATTTTGTATGTCAATTATACCTTAATAAAAAAAAGTATAAACCCTAAAAAAAAAAGAGCAATGATAGATTTAGATCATCACCATTTTGCAATGCCTAATGAAATGGATCTAGGCTACAACCATCTATGATGCTAAAATCATTAGGTGAAAGGTAGAAAGGTAAGTTGACTCTACCTGAACCCACTCATCAATCTTAACATCTCACAAAGAGACATCCAGACCTCATGTGTCTTGTGATGTGAGGCAATAGATTTTATACAAACCACCTACGAAGGATGCTTGCCTTCAAACCCAAATCTAACCAAGCTTCTACATCTAACTGCCCGATTATAGGAAACATGAAGAATAGAGGAACAAGTTAAATGACACCACAAGTAAGAAATCAGCCCAGAAAGTGGGATATTCTGCTAAACAAATGACCTGCTCTCTCCATCAAATCAATGGCGGGAACAAAAGTGCGGGGGTGGGGGGGGACATTATAAAATAAAATAGATTTAAAAACCTAACAACCAAAGGCAATGTGTGGATCTTGTTTAGTTCCTGATTCCAACAAATCATAAGTAAAAAGACATCTTTGAGAAAATTTGAAAATGGGAATTATATTAAGGAATTATTGTTTATATTTTTTGGTGTGAAAAAGGCATAGAAGTTGTTTCCTTTTTTTAGAAAAGAAGTCCTTATCGGAGATGTAAACTGAAACTTTTATGAGTGAAATGACATGTTTAGGATTTTGCTTCAAAATACATCAGCTTCCACAAAAAAAGGCGGGCAAGGGGGAAATAAATGATACAAGACTGGCAAAATGTTAATAACTGTTGAAGCTTGGTTGTTTATTATACTATTCTCTCATAATCTCCATAACACAAAGTTCTAAAAAAAATGGTTAATAGGTTTTGGTGGAAATTCAAGCTGTGCCTTATCTCACCACTGATCTTTAGGAGGTAGCTAGGCTCCTCCCACAAAGCAAAATTTAGTCACTCCCCACTCAGCCTAATGAGGTGCAAAGAGTCTTAATCAGTTTGCATTTCGAATTCAGTATAATTAGAAGTGACTGAACCAAGGAACCCGGGAGTTCTGTAGTATTAACCAAATGTCAGCTGAATTTTTCCCAGTAAGAGATCTACCAGGCACCCAGTTGGGCAATACAACCTACAAAGAGCTTACTTGATGACAGCTGATATCAGATTGTGCAGATTTGTTGGAGCCCAAGGCAGCATGGACAAAAGGCACAAGTTTTCCTAAATCAGATCTTGGTCAATACAGAAATTGCAAACTTTCTTACCAACTCGTGTAATGCACAGAGCTGCTTTTTTTTTCCCCACAGTGGTAACGAATTTGTGTTAACTTGTCCCTATAATCACTCAGCTGTAATCTGGAGGTGCAGCCCATGAGATACAAAACTAAAGGTCCACAGAAGAATCTAAGCCATGATTTGTTTGCATCAGCATCACTGCACTAACCAAGGAGCTAACCAGACGACCCCAGATGCTCGCAAGTCACCAAATGGATTGGCATATCTCACTTGTTTTTCTCTTTCCTTCAAACCCATTCTGTTACAGACCAAATGTTTGTGTTCCTCCAAAATTCATAAGTTGAACAAGTCCTAACCCCCAGTGTGATGGTATTTGGAGATGAGGGCTGTGGGAGGTAGGGTTAGACTAGGTCATGAAGATGGGGCCTCCATGATGGAATTAGTGATCTTGTTAAAAAAAGAAGAGAGATTTCCCTCTCCCTCCATGTGCACCAAGGAATGGCCATTCCTCTTCCTGTGAGGACACAGTGGGAAGGCGGCTGTCTTCAAACAGAAACAGAGCTCTCACCAGAAACCAAATAAGCTGGCACTTTGATCTTGGACTTCCAGCCTCCAGAACCATGTGAAAATAAATTTCTGTTGTTTAAGCTGCCCAGTCTGTGGTATTTTGTTATGGTAGCCTTAGCAGACTAATACAGGTACATATTCACCTGCTTTTCTTTCTTTCAAATTCCATCCTACCTCTTTGTTAGGTGAAATTTCCAAAATCACAAAGATGGTTCCATAGCCAAAGGAAGGGATAATAGTTGAAAATTATGGGTTTCCAACATTGAAAAATTTGACAATCTTCCTCCAATAAAAAACTGGCCATGTGCTTACGAAATATGTTTGGAATGGCCCAAAGAGAAGTCATACAGTATTAGAACCAAAGAAGGATTAATAAAGTATACATTATTAGAATCGACCACATTTAGAATAATTAAGAAGGTAAATATGTATATTGGCGAGGTGTACAACATCATTCCAGGCAGCAAGAAACACAAGCCCCTATGCAGATGAACACTACAGATCTATTTATACAGAAACCTTGAGCAATTCTCCTCACAGATTGCCTGGCTGCCCTCATGTCTTCAGTATTCTGTGCCATGAAAAAGTAACTCTCAAGGATAACAGGAACGCGATTTGACCTACTTTTCCCTAGATTCCTGCAAAGTCTATAACTCTGGTTCTCGCGTTTACTTAGCTGTCACATCTTTGGGACACATTTCCTCACTTTCTTTGCAGGCAATCCTGTATGGCACACATTAAGGTGTAGGCAATTCCTAAACTCCCCTGGTCATGGACTTAAAAACATCCTATTACACCCAGCTAATCCTCAGAACATCTTCTGAGGTAGATCATGTATAGTCATCCCTACACGGGAAGAAAAATGCCTAGGAAAAAAATACACAGCCTAGAAAGGCTGAAGACCTATGTCCATTCAGACCCTTCCCTACCCAAGGGAAGCCACACCAAAACAAGTGTTTCTCCCTAACTCAAAAGTTTCCACAAATGGATCTTTGCAAGAGCTACAAGTCCTCCATTAAGGTCTTCTTTTAAGGCAGACAACCAAGACTTCAATTTTTTTTCAAATTACAGCTCCCCAAATCTACATTGTTGTAGCTTCTCAATAAAGCCTGCTTAATGATGGCAAATTTTTTAAAACTGAGTAGAACCCACCAAAGGTGTCCCAAAGCCCTGATGACCCTGAGTAAGCCTGAGGCCCGGGCAGGGCCTGCTGAGTGGCTTGGGAAAGATCCCAGGAGCCGAGCAGCAGGCTGTCCAGCTTCTCTTAACGTACGAAACATGTCTGACCTGCTCAGGCCATTAGATGCACGTAGAACCCAACGAGGGACACTCCTTCACCAGGAAATCATATCCGATCACACCATCAGGAAGTCAATATTTAAGATTCTAGGGGGCGTGCACCCTCCTGCTCAAGGGGGCGTCACCGAAAACTAAGTCCTGGAGGCTCCGGAACCCACGAGCTAGAAGCTCGCCGGGGACTTCCAACTCCTAGGTCTCCCCTTCGGCGGTGGCGGTGGCGGCGGCCAGAGCCCGTCCCGATGCCCAAAGCGCGCAACAGGGCGTCCAAAACAAGCGCACACGTCTCATGCCTCCTGCAAACCGGGATCCCACTCGGGGGGCCTGAGGCTTGCTGTCGGGACAGGGCTGGCCGACTGTTAGGAACCCGGACACCTGCAGCTTCCCCTCTGGGGAGAGGCAAACGGCTCTTCTCCCGGCGATGCCCGCTGTCCGGCAGCCGGAATCCAGGTGCTCCTGGGTTAAGTCAGGTGCAACTGGGGGAAGGGGAAACCGTCGCTCACCGGGGTGGCATCTCACGACCCTGCAGACCCGGGACCCTCTTCTGCCCAGTCTGGCACAAGGGCGCCCCTTCTGCTACCTCCCCAACTTCGAGACGCCCTCCTCAGCGGCCCGGGAGGGTGGGCGCGGGCTCCACGTGTCCGCCGCCCATGCCACTCACCCGGCCCCCGGCGACGCTCCGCTTCCTCCGCAGGGTGAGCCCGCTCCGCAGCAGCGCGGGCAGGTCCCTCAGCCTCGGCCGCGGCGGCGCCG